AAGTTTTTAATACCCTACAAAAACTGGGCAGTTGGTTCAAATTAAAGTGCAGCTCAGTTCCGAATAATTGTTGGGCAATCAAATTTCTAGCCTGAGCTTGACCAAGGTGACATAAAAGAAAAGGCTACATGAAAGGAGTTTCTGCTTAAGAGACTTTTTCAAAGTGGATTAGAAATTATCGCTGAGAATACAGTAGGACAGCCCAACAATGTATAATGTAAAAGCTTTTAAATATTAACTTTCAATATGTTTGAGAGCATCAATAGTCTGAGACCACATAAAAACTCAATCCAAAGTAGAAGTTTTCAAACAGAGTCTTTAAAATACCAAACAAAAATAAATATTGATTTCATCCTTATTTTCCTTCAAAAGAATAAATGTGCAAAGGCTTTTGCAAATCCTGAAGTCTCTTGAGTAATCCAACTTTGCATTCCAATAAATAAGAGCAACACAATTAAAACCCAATTAAAAATGCAATCATAGTAACAAGAATGAACCAAAACTATCATCCCTCCCAACAAGATTTATTGAAACTCTAGATTTATTGAAAAGCCAAATTATGAAGCCATAACAGTTGTTTTATTGTTTATCTCACTCATTTGCCAGGGTCACTTGTTTTTCACTGAACCCACCTAGTTTTGCAAGGAAGCTACTCAGCACTTGTGGCAAGGGATTTTGTTTTCCAGCCAGTATGTTGCAGAGTCTGATGTTGAGTTGTGGTGGCCCCAACGTGGGACTGGTCTAAGGCAGGGGTCTTCAAACTTGGCCCTTTTATGACTTGTAGACTTCAACTCCAGAATTCCTCAGCCAATGTGCCTGGCTGAGAAATTCTGGGAGTTGAAGTCCACAAGTCATAAAAGGGCCAAGTTTGAAGACCCCTGGTCTAAGGTCATTCAATTGACTTCCATGTTTAAGTGACAACTTGAACCAGGCTCTCCCAGCTCCTAACCCAACACCTTAACCACTCAACCAGCCTGGGTCTCATATGAGAGATTTGTATTCTCCATACCCTGGAACACTGCCAGGTTATGTAAGAACACTGCTTCTCACAATGACCAAACACTTCTGAAGTGCAACAATTGAGAGATGGTTGATTCCTGTGATTTTTTTCACCTGCAATAGGTATTTGGAGGTGTGTTTCACCCAACTCAGAGATAACAATGAAACTTCAAGACTAATCAATTCTCTGTAAAGCCATGCAAAGGTGTCTGATGGCTATAAATTCCAACCTTGATTATGTGTGTGTGTGTGTGTGTATGTGAGAGAGAGAGAGAGAGAGAGAGAGAATTCATCTTCTTCCAAGCTATTGTCAGGTGTGAAAGACCATGTCCATACATGAAGGTACAATTAAACAGATTTAATTGTACCTTCACAATTATTTATTACCTTCACAATTATTTATTATTTATTGCCTATGCACAGGAATCTTCTCAACTAAGGTTAGCACCTGGTAGGAGTTAGATAATAGTCAGTGGAATTCAAGGGGGGGGGGGGGCGTTAGACTTAGCTCACTTGTAGCTACACAGATTTTAGGTTGATCCCTCTTTTAACTCCACCCCCAGGTTCTCTCATCCTTCCCCCTACAGCTATGCAATATTGTATACACCTTGATAATTATTTCTCAGTTGCCTTTTTCTAGGCTGAAAAGTGCCAGACATTCTTTCCAGTAAGGTAGATGTTTGATTGCCCCAGTGGCGGGATTTAGCCGGTTCGCACCACTTTGGCAGAACCGGCAGCTAATTTTTGTTGCCCAGGCCCAGAATGGACTTCCAGAAGCGGCATCCACACAGAGAACCAGTTGTTCACATATTTGAATACTACCACTGGATTGCCCTCTTCAGCACCTTTTCCAGCTCTATTTCAAATGCAGCAGTCGGAATTGTACAAAGTATTCCAGTTGACATAACACAGGGCATTATCCTGTTGGCATTTTATTTTCAATCTCTTTTCTAATTATTCCAAGCATGAAATTTGCTTTTTTGACAGCTTGTGAAAAAAACACTTTCCCTCCAACTATATTATTACACATAATTACACTAACTATCTATAGGAATAGATGGATAAGATCTGGAAAAATTAACACTTCAAAGAAATAAAGAGGTCAAGGTAGGATATAAAAAGGTCAAGGTAGGATATAAATAAAATAAAATAAATCAATTTAGTGTTCTCACTAGCAATCTATTCCTAAGTAATTTTGCCTAACAGCACTTTATATTACCAAGTCATAGATCTCTTTCTTTAAGTTAGGTAAATATTTATATTATACTATCTTGTAGAGCAGTGGTTCTCAACCTTTTTAATGCCACCCCCCAACCGGTCGTAAGTCGAGGACTACCCAACCAGTCATAAGTCGAGGACTTTCCCTACCCGGGAGCGCCATGCATGCGTGGTGCCGCTCCCTGCGCCAGCCGAGGCGTAGCTGGCAAGTGGCAGAGACGGAGCAGGCCGACCACCAGCTGGGCCACGAGCTAGCCCAGCCCAAGGGAGGTAAGGCACCCGCCAGAAAAGGGGAAAAAATGGCGGACAGCCTTGCTTGGCGACCCCCATGAAATGGTTGATCGACCCCAAATGGGGTCGCGACCCATAGGTTGAGAACCACTGTTGTAGAGTGAACCATAAAATGATGGGAAGAGATGATAAAATAGGCTAAATTCTCAAGCTAGTTTCTGTACAGGTTCATTGTACAAGCAGTCCTTGGGTTACAACCACTAGTTCAGCGACTGTTCAAATGATACTGAATGAAGGAGACTTACAACCACCCTTTCACATTGTGGTTGTTGCAGCATCCCTGTAGTCACATGACTACAGTCACAGTGGGGAAGCTGGCAGGAGGTTGCAAGTCACTCCAGTAAGTCACTCCCAAGCCTGCTGTTTTATCTCTTGAGGAGTGCCAGTCTGTAGAACACAAATATACATACAAACATACATGTAGTACACAAACATACATACATCTATGTTCATTTGCACCATGCCATAGCCTCTACCTGCACACCTGTCTGCCTGCACTCACGCCACACTGCAGCACCCATCTCCTGTGCCCACATGCACTCCATAGCATTCAGCTGCCCACTGGCCTGTTTGCAAGCCACCAAACCTAAGACTTCTCATGATCAGGACTTGAAACTTCCTACTGGATTCTCCATTGACTTTGCTTGTTGGAAGCCAGCAGGAAACAGAAAGTTGCAATCACATGAGGTCCTTGCTTAGCCTGCCATCCTCGCTTAACAATGGCAACTGCTGGGAGTGCTGTGGCTAAGCGCTGCAGTTAGGTAACATCATGCTTTATGAATGCATCATTTAGCAACAAAAATTCTGATCCCAATTACCACCATTAAACAAGGACCACCTGCAGTTTGGCTTTGGCTTTTCACCTCCTGCTGAAATCTCACCTTTTGCATTGGAAGCAGCAGGTGGATAGCATGCAATTCTTTGCTTAATTTTCCTTCCCAAAATTAATGCATAAGAGAGAAATTTGCAGTGTACAAATTGTGATAATGCGAAAGCTATAAATATGTCTTCTGTGATGGGCCTAAACAAAATATTACCAGCACACCTAAAGCAAAGATGTATAGTGCCAAGACTATGGCTTTCCCAGTTGTAACAGTTGTGAAAGCTGGAGCATCAGAAAAGCAAAGGAAAGAAAAAAATATGCCTCTGAATTGGGGGGGGGGGACAGAATGTCAAAAAATGCCTTGGACCCGGACTGAAAAAAGGACAAACATTCACTGCTAGGTAAAATCAAACCAGATAGTTCAGTGGAAATGCTAATAATGAATTTAAAGCTTAAATATTTGGGACACATAACGAGAAGGCAAAAATCATTGGAGGAACACCTTTGATGAAAAATCAAAGTAGTAAAAAAAAACAGCAGGAGACTGGATGACTAGATACTGTCACTATAAAACAAACATGAGTTTTGAATACCTAAAGAAGAAATTACTGATAGATAATCCTGGTGAAATGATATCCAACTGATTGAGTATGCACCATCAAATTGGTGACGAGTGTTAATGGCCACATAGACCTTCTTCAGAACCATGTGTACTCAGCCTGGCACTTCAAGTCTCCCAATGGTGCACCTATTGCTCCTGTAATCAAATCAATTCACCTTGCTATTGTTAAGGTACCTGAATCTCTTTTCCAAGAAATTTTCCCATTGCTACCCAACAAAGTGGTTACGAGCAGTTTAACAACATCATGCAAAGAAGTGGAATTAAAGATTGGTCAGCATCTGGAAAAACCCACCTGATAATGAAAGATCCAACAAAAGGGCAGCACCCGCTAACTACAGACCCCGTATTGGTTAGCTGCTGTAGTTACTAACAACTTTCAATTTGCTAACTGGTATGATAGCTGATGCAGTCCTACAACATCTAGTTGAAAATAAGCTCTTTCCACCTGGGCACAAAGGAAACTACCCAAACAGCGGAGAGAGACAAGATCAATAGAGGAAAACTGAAGGAATCAAGATACCTTATGGAAATAACATGAAGTGTCTGGATGAAGACAATAGCTACACATACCTGACAACATCAAGCATACTGAAGTCAAGAAGGCTAAAATGAATCATCAGAGTGAAGGAGATCTTAAAGTCCAACACAGTGGCAGAAATAATATCAAGGTAATTAGAACCTGGATAATTCAGTCATTAGATACACAGCTGGAGTAGTGGATTAAGTTCAAGCAAAATTAAAAGGCCTGGCTAGAAAGACCAGAAACAAAAAAACTACGAAGCATACCCTTCATCCACACATTGAGAATATCAGATTCTACTTGCCAAGGAAAACAGGTAGGCAAAGAGTTGAAGAATAAAAAAGGACATTGGAAGAATATCAGAAGGACAGTGACAAAAATGCAATGAAGCTAATACACCCTGAAGGCTTACTGAATATTGGACAGACCAAAATCCTTACATGGTCAGTATATATAAAAAAACTACCAGTACTTTTTTACTTAATCTGATTTATACAAGTAATTTCAATTTATGCGCAATAATATACCTTGCTTTGTTCAGATGAGTATGGTATTTGTAAAGCATCCATAGCGCTCACCATAGCTTGCATAGCAGAATATATGTTTTGATAAACCAGTTTTGTGTAGTTTTTCCGCTCTTCTTCTGAAAAGCCTGATCCATGAATTATCTTCATCTGCTTAATAAATGTACTTTTCCCACTCTCTCCTGTACCTGCAAGAAAGAAAATAAATCATTAAGTAACATGAAGAAAGCGGCAAATTTTTAAAGGGAAGGGAAATTTTATTCCTCCATGCCAATGTCAACTGACACACACACACACACACACACACATACAGGCCTACCCAAAAAGTAGCAAATATAATATCTCTAAATAAGGAGACGGCCTGAAGCACAGTTGAAAAATTTCAGTTTTTATATAAACAGTAACATATATGTGATTAATGCTTTTAAGCCCCTATAAAGGAAGTCAGAAGTAGGGATTGAAAACATTACATTAACCCACAAGAATCTGAAAGAATACGTCTGTTATTGAAATTTTGTAGATATTGTACATTATATCTTTTAAAGATTAGAAGCTATAGGAATGGTGATTTGACTACTTTACAGAAGCACGCTACATTTTCGTTAACCCCCCCCAAAAAAATATTTTCCCCAGGCCTCCACTAGAGGTCCCTCAATACCACAAATGAAAATATTGAGGGATTGGAAAAACTCAAATGCTTCAGATGATCTGAAAATGCCTGTGTCCCCAGTATGGTTTGCAAAACTACTAAGGAAATTTTAAAATTGAGTAACAAAGCTAATTATTTCTGTTAATTTCTCTCTTCATGTACTGGTTATTTTTACTCATATGTGCTTTAAAAGCCTAAATTATTCTTATTTATCTTTCACTTCTTTTCTTTCACTTCGCCAATACAACACTATGGCTTCTCTTCATTTTCTCTTTTTTAACCTCCCCTTAATAGCGTCTCACAGTTGTTTTACTGCTGTTTTTTTTAAAAAAAAAACATAGTAATTTGGCCTGCAGACAGTTTCTGTCTTTGAATTCACTAAACAATATATTTCACTGGTAGAATGCCCTGGCTGGGTTAATATAAGAAGCTCAATTCATTAACTAGTGAAAATCTAACCAATTTAATTTGTGTTAACAAGGTAATCACTAGGTTTAGATACACTATATCACTTTAAATTACCACTAGACAACTCTTGCCTAATTGGATCATCATTCCTGAGATATTTCCTTACCTCAACAGAAAAATAGAATGACTACTACTGGGCAAAAGACAAACAGTGGGAGCCAGAGAAACTTCCGACTTCCTCCTGGCTTCCCCAATGAGTTTTCTTGTGGGAAGTTGGCAGAGGGTATCAGAAAACTTCCCTCCCTTCCTATCATTCTGTCATTTCCTTCCTTCCTTCCTTCGAATAAAAATGAATAAATGAATAAAAGCTTTAAAAATTAAAAACAGCAACGAGCAATGAGATTTAGAGAGGCACAAATTTTCTTGAAGGAAAATACAGCAGAGCACTGGCAGGCCATTGCAATTAAGCTCCAAATACACAATAAACTAGGTCTGGTACTAATGCTGGTGCATTCTGGTTGCCAAGTGAAAGCCACTCTGAAGCCAGAATGTGTTTCTCTGTGTCCCAACTAACACACTTCTGCAATCAGTCAATCAAGCCATCTATATAGAAACTAAAGCACTAGATACAACCATGCTTTTTGACAGTCAGTTTGACAAAACTGGCTGACAAACTATACTCAATAATAGTCCTTAATGGTACTACATCTACATGGAGGGAAGTAAGTGGTAGGGCACCAGAAGGTTCGATCTTAGGCCCAGTACTCTTCATTATCTTCATAAATGACTCTGATGAGGAATAGAAGTGGAACTCATCAAATTTGAAGATGACATTAAGCTGGCAGGAATAGCCAACACCCCAGAAATCAAGCTTAGGATCCAAAAAGATCCTCATAGACTTGAATAATGGGCCCTATCCAACAACATGAAATTTAATGTGGAAAAAAGCAAGGTTTTACATCTAGGCAGGAAAAATCAAAGGTACAAGTACAGATTAGGCAAAACCTGGCTTAAAAATAGTAACTATGAGAGGGACCTTGGAGTACTAGTGGACAATCACTTAAGAATGAGTTAGCAGTGTGCGGCAGCAGCCAAAAAAGCTAATACAATCCTTGGTTGTATAAAGAGAGGCATAGAATCAAAATCAAGTATTAGTAATGCTTTATATATGCTTAGTAAGGCCACGCCTAGAATATTGCATCCAGTTTTAGTCACCACATTCCAAAAAAGATGTTGAGACTTTGAGGGGAAAAGTGCAAAGAAGAGCAACTAAGATGATTAAAGGCCTGGAGACCAAAACATATGAAGAACGGTTGCAGGAATTGGGTATGGCCGGTCTAGAGAAAAGAAGGACTAGGAGTGACATAATAGCAGTATTCCAGTATTTGAAGAGATGCCACAAGGAAGAGGAGATCAACTTATTTTCCAAAGCACCAAAAGGCAAGTCAAGAAGCAATGGATGGAAACTAATCAAGGAGAGAAGCAACCTAGAATTAAGGAGAAACTCCCTAATATTGAGGACAATTAACCAGTAAAACAGATTGCCTTCAGAAGTTGTAGGTGCTTCATCACTTGAGGTTTTTAAGAAAAGACTGGACAGCCACCTGTCTGAAAAGGTATAGGGTCTCCTCCTTGAACAAGGGGTTGGACTAGAAGACCTCAAAAATCCCCTCTGATAGATTGAAATTTTTTGTCAATATTCTGAAATAAAATGTATGCAGTTGCAAGTTTAGCATTTAGCCGCAACAAAAACACAGTTCATGCTCTCTGGTGGCTATGTTCTCATTTGGCCTTATAATCCAGCTGAAGTTTTTTCATAAAACTGATTTTAAGATATTTGTCGTAACAGGAAATACATTGAAATCCCACAGAATTTTGTGTGCTTAAATAATACCGCCATCTCAATACAGGCACAAATCTGCAACAATTGATCATTCAATGAGGCAGTGTTTACTTTAGATGTCTAAGAGTTAAACCCACAATTTCAATATCTAGAGATTGTTGTGGTTTTCCTGAAAGAAATTCATTTACAGCAATCAGTTCTTGCTGCCATTTCTCAATGTATTATTATTCCCAATTGTTCTCCTTTTCCATTTTCCAATGAAGCACAAGAGCTGACAAAGAGGCTTTACTTTCTCCACTATAATAAGAATAATTTACAACCTGCTGATGTTTTTGTAACCAGTAGCTGATCCATACAGACTCTGAAGTTATTCCACATTCTTCTAAAATCAAAAGCAAGATTCATTACCTCAAGTAAACATGCAAGCCCTTTGTTTCTCAATTCCTATAGATTCATCATCCGATGATATAATGAAGCTATCATGGCACATCTCCACACAGCATTTTGTAATGAGCAGAACAATCTTGAACGTAGCCTTAAGGCTTGCAAGCATCTACCTATGGGGAAATTAAGTCCAGCTATGATCAAAGGCTGGTTTTTATAGAATGGTATCCAGAAGATAAACACATAAATTCAACCTCAAGTCAAAAAACCATTTAACAAATAAGTACTGTAATAAACGATTAAGATAAACTTTCCACAATCTGGTATCCTATAGATGCACTGAATATAATTCTTATCACTATTTCCAGCATGACTGATTTATAGTCAAACATATGAAAGTGGGAGAGGAATATCAGATTATGAATTAGGTCTAGACATGACCCAACTCCCATAAAAATGTGAAGAAGCCAGACTCCAGTAGTTATCAAAACCCTATCAATTTCAGACCACAGAGACTTTACAAGCACAAAAGCTACTTTTCATATCCTAACTACAGCAGAAAGAGAGAAAGAGAAAATAACTGAGATGGTTATGCTGAATGCTGTCCTACTCTGCTGAAATGTAACTTTCTAGTTCTCCAGTATTATTTGGCTCATTGAAATTTAATTGCTGCGTATATTGTTAAACTTATAAAGCTAGGGCAGAGGACAGAGTGTAAAAGCCCCTGCAGCTTTCAAGAAGTTCCAGGGAGCAAGGTAGCAACACCAGGTATTAAGGGATGCACAGAGTTAGAATTAAGGAAGATTTAATTAAGAAGATTTAATTTAATTATTTAAGAAGATTACTGGTTATTACTGGTAAGTAAACAAAGTAAAAAGTAAATGGAAACGAAAGAGGATGCTACTGGGGATGAGAAAAACTGCATCCAAAGGGGAGGCAGGCTTCAAGATCCTTCCAATTCTTCCGCTGGGACAATCAAAGTAGCCACTCAGGACAAAAGGAGATTATGCTGTCCTGAATGGAAAACAAGAAAGTATCCACCATATCTACTGATATGTCCCATGATATGGGACGTCTGTTCCCTCTCTTTTACCAAACAAATTAAAAATAGCAAGAATATTCACATCATTAGTACATGACTTACAACAGTTAATTTAGTGACTATTCAAAGTTACAATGGCACTGAAAAAAGTGACTTATGATCATTTTCCCCACTTACGACTGTTGCTGCATGCCTGTGGTCACGTGATCAAAATCCAGCCGCTTGGCAAATAATTCATATTTATGATGGTTCCAGTGTCCTGGGTTCATGTGATCCCTTTTGGCGATCTTCTGACCAGCAAAGTCAATGGGAAAGCCAGATTCACTTAACAATCTTGTTGCTAACTTAACAACTGTAGTGATTTACGTAACAACTGTGGCAATGGGGCAAAATTCACTTAACTGTTTCGCTTAGCAACAGAAATTTTGGGCTCAATTGTGGTCGTATATAGAGAACCTATGCCACCATCACATACCACCACCCTGCCATCCTGTGTCATGCTCGGTTTCAGCATGTCATTTTTCATTCAAAAATAGGGCATTACCACTTCCTTCTCTTTTCATTATTCTCCCCTGACCCTTTTTTCCTTTGTACCTTTAAAGCAGTGGTTCTCAACCTTTCTAATGCCGCGACCCCATAATACAGTTCCCCATGTTGTGGTGACCCCCAACCACTTATACATCACCAGGTGCCAGGGGCATGGCCAAAGAAAAGGGGGGAAAATGGCGGACAGCCTTGTTTGGCAACCCCCGTGAAATGGTCGTTTGACCCCAAATGGGGTCCCGACCCACAGGTTGAGAACCATTTCTTTAAAGATTCATTTTAATGTTGACCTGATACAGTTTGAGATTTTGGCAGTGGT